AAAATCATGTTCGAAAATCATGAAAAGCATGTTCTGATAGAAAATTAGATATTGAACAGTACTTGAATCGGTATGGAATGTCGTTTTTGTTTTTGATTATTTGATGGAATGAAGTTTTTTTGTTTTTGTTGTTATTCGTCTTTTATGTGGAGAATTTTAAGTTCTTTACCCACTCTGCCACACATCTTGGCTATTATATACCTAAGGATATCGATATATCTAGATTTCTGAGGAACCTAGTTCTTTAGGCAATAAGAAATGTAAGTATTTGGCATTTTCAAGAAGTGTTTGTCAATCGATTTTTGTAGGATGTATTTATAAAGTTGAATTTAATTTGAAAACAAGTATAGTTAGCTGAAGTATTTGGTCTTTATAAACTCTAGTTAGACAAATCTAAGAAGCTAGAATAGAATAACATGTATTTAATAAAAAATGATGTAAAATATAGTTCACACTTACACTCCTTCAACAACAACAGCCACACCAGCCGGTTGTACAGCTTGCGTTACGGCGACTGCAATTTGCTTGGTTAAACGTTCCTGCACTTGCAAGCGCCTTGAAAATATTTCCACAATTCTGTAAAATAAAAATTTATTATTGTTGTACTTATATAAAAAATTTTAAAGTAAAAACAAAAGTAAAATATATTACCTGGCCAATTTGCTTAAGCCCAAAATTTTATTGCATGGCAAATACCCAATGGAAACTTTACCATAAAATGGCACCAAGTGATGTTCGCACATAGAAAACATTTCAATATCCTTAACAACCACCATCTCATCGTGATCTTCATCAAATACTGCACCATTAAGCACATCTAAAATTATTTTAAAAGAATTGAATATTTAATAAAAAATTCTGCATCATGGTAAATAATTACATTTTAAATGATTGTAAAAATATTACTAATAAATAATAACATTTAGCAGAAGTTGTGGAAACCCGCAGGAAAAAGAAACCATAATACATTTTCTCTGTGAATGCCCGGTTTTAGTGTGCAGGAAGATACTTCTTTGATAGTTTATCAGACTATTCATAGGTAAAGACGCGAAAGACCTATTAAATTATCTTAATTCAGGGGTGGATTAAGTCTCTACTTTTCTATACTAGGGTTCTTGCGAGGAAGGTGATAGCAAAACGGCGAAAAATTGCTAATGGAGGTATATGGAAGTTATCTAATGACATGCCACCAACCAATACTTTTAAATCATCTATTAATATTATTAATCTACTAAAAATGCTAAAGAAGGTGTTAATTGGACTGTTGAATTAATTTCGAGGAATATAAATATACTTATTTACTTAAAAAAAAATTTATTCAATTAAAGAAAGTATATATACGTTCATTTAAAAATTTCTTTCATTAAAATTTTTTTTTCAATAGATTGACTAAAATGTATTTACAATTAAAAAATAGAAAAATTTATAGTGGCGCCAATTTAAATAAGTAGAATTCTCGACATCAAACGTTTCATTTATCTTGTAGCAATAATAGTAATGGACTAAGAATTTTTCCTATTCATCACAAATTCAAATACGTTAATATATTCTGCTGGTATCTTAAGAACGAATACAAATAAAAATAGCATAAATACAAAAATGCGAGAAGAAGAATAGAATAAGCATAATGAAGTTAGTCCATTATTACGCCATTCATCCTTAAAGTATGCAACAAAGTCGAAAGCATTCTAAGAAATCACTTCACTAGGACATTTGAGCACGTAAGCACAGCATAGGTCGGGGTCGGGGTAGTAAAATGAAAATACTGTAAAAGCTTTAGCTACTCAACATTCTTCAAGTGTGAATGTGTGCGTTTGACATTTGAAGTTCACAGTTAATTTTATTGCACTCATTTTAACAATGGCGAAAGTCGACAACCGGAAAGTCGTATTGTATAATTCTGTGGGTGTAAAAATATGTTAGTAGGTTTCTACTATGCATCAATAAATGTATGTTAGCGGTAGATACACAACGGAGAGCAACTTGTTACTTTTATTCTATAAGAAATGTTAACGTTTAAATGTGTAATCAATAAATTCTTCTTCGGAGACAGAATATTTTTTCAAATGTATTTATTAATTCAGTATTTATTATATAATAGTTTATGATTTAATGTCAAAGGATTAAGAATAGAATTTAAAACAAATAATTGTCTATATAATCGTATTCAATGCTCCAGCGAAAAAGGTGTTTGAAGCAGTAATCTCTCTAGACGTAGAGATAGACCGTGTCTCCGGTGGTGTTCTCAAGTTGAGGGAGTACTAACTGAATTTGATGTACGAGAATGAAGAACGAGAAAGTAAGTAATAGTATTCGTTGGGAATGTAAGAATGTAATTTCTTTTTTGAAAACACGGGATCGATATTAACATTGCTTGTACCACAAAAATAAGTGGTGGGAAGTTTGTAATTGTTATTGATAATAATTAGTTTGTGACTTTTTGAGAACAATTTGGTTTTCTCTAGAAATGTCTTAGGTCTTATGGAATCTACACATCTTCTTGGTAAATAGTTTTAAGTGATCTATAATTCTCATTAGATACGTATAGTATGTATATATTTTTTGAATATCATTACTTTAAATGGCTATGAATACAAATATCATTCACAACACGTACTCTCTAACTTTATAAAGGTGCAATTGTTGTGGTTGTTGTTGCAATCTGGTAGGACCTAATGCAAGAAACATAAATGAATTTTGAGATGAATATATGGGTTAGGAAAAAGTGTGAAATGGGTTGACGGTAAAAGGAGAAAATAATGGTCATTTGGGATGAGAGAAGGTTGGTAAAAAGCTATTCTTCCCAAATCATTTCAATTGGGACTAAGCATAAATCTATAAGATTGATAGAAGCATATGTATTTGGATAAGAAAACAGATGAATTACATTTTAAGAAGTAGCGCTATATTGGGAGTTAACGTACGTAGCAGTAGGTAAGTATTTAGCAGGTGCATTTATTCTCACCACAATTAGACTCGGAGAATTCTTGAGAAGTTTATTGTTAGGAAAATATGACTTCGAAAAGTTACTGTTTCGGTGTGGATTATGGTAATCTCACTTTTATATTCAATCTCATAGATGTCTGCTCTGTAGCAACAAATATCGACTTGTTTATGATACGAAGTAGTAAATTGACATGTTCAATGTGAAGTGAAGACTTTACTAATTTTAAGACAAATCTTTTAAAGATTGTCATCCGTAAAAATCAAATATATTGCAAGATTTGCTTTTTTGACAATTAGTCTTCAAAATCACAAAGTAATGTCTTTTTCGTTTATTTTGGTAATCTGTACTTTCAATTAAATAATAAATATTACTTAATTTTTATTTTATTTACTCTTAATTATATTTAGAGATCAAATAAAGTAGCTAATACATTGTAGTATTTACTCCATTAAACACACTTTTAAATTTCCAAAAATATGCCAATAAAATTAAATCAATAAAGAAATGATTTCATTGACAAACAACAACTGCTTGTGACATGTGACATTGAAAATTTGTTCAATCATCTAACAAAGGTCCTCAAAACTGATTTGTGCTGATTGCACTACAAGAATAACTAACGGTTAGTCATAGAACTCTCATAAAATGAACAGATATGAGATATGGAGTTATAATCTCACATCGTGAACAAAGTTGAATGAATATATTTGTATGCTTTTGGTATAGATATACTATGTATGTACTTACATATGTGTTTGGATAAGCATAATTTATTGTTAGCCAGATTTCTTAACAAACAAATTCAGAAATTTTTAAGGAAGAAGTTATTGATACTATTAGTTTCGAGAAGAGTGAAAATATTACAAAGTTTTACACCAAACTTTATTGGAATACGAAAAAAATTTGTTTCATAGTATTGCATAGTATATAAGTTATTGTACATATGTATACATACATATATATGTTTTTTGATGATGATTTTATCATCATTTAATGAAGGTACATGTAAGATTAAAAAAAAAATATTTCAACAATATCTTGATTGTAAAGGTTTAGAGAAAATGTTAGAAAATTTTTTCCACATTAACTTGATAGGTATTCTAGATAAGTACCCAAACCAAGTTCATGTGGAACCGAAATAATTACAACAAAAATAATTAAAAAATTTTTTTTTTCTATTTTTTAGTAAAGCAATGAAGTCAGACATTGAAAATGGACATAAGATCAATTAAAATCAATTCAAATATTTATCGGTAAACTTGAAATTTACTTGAATTTGTATATGAGCATATACGCACTCATATATTACAAGAACAATAGAAGCAATAATATTAACTGTAACAGGAAACAAAAAATGCCACTGACAAATGAGAGGATATGGTTGAACTAGGAATTATGGGTGCATGGAATTATAATAGAAACTGTGTTTAGTGAAGCTTGCCTTTTTCTTATAACTTGAAAACAACACAAGTGGCATAGTGATAGTGTCGATACTTATATAAATACGTGTTCTTCAACTAAACTAACTAATCATAAGAATTATTTGTCTTATAGCTAGTTAGTTTTAGTGGTGGTAGAGTTTCATATTCTGTTCTATTAGCGTATAAAGGCCTTTCTTACCACACTTCAGTAGATAAAATTTAAGAAGAAAGTCAGCTTATGTGTTTGATAATTATTTTGAGATATATAATTGCAATGTCAGAAGGTAAGATTTAAGACGATAAGTTAGCTTAGGTGTTTGATAACTATTTTAAGATCTATTATTGTGATGTCTGCCAGGTTTGTCAGTTTGTAGCTTTTCATGATGGAATTGAGTGGAATTGTGTGCATTTGCTCAGGGATAGTTCAGTTGGTTATTGTTTATCATCCATAAGTAGTTTATATATATCCACTATAATATCTTGCAAGGTCAGTATCTCCCATTCAAATCTGTAAACCGAAACCATATTGTGGATTAAGTTGGTCTACAACTAGGTCTTTGATTGATAAAGGCTAAAGAGCTGGTTTATCCCTACAGTTATGGTAAGGTATTCTTCTTCAGATCAACTATGGTCGCAGTGCTCCGCTTCGTTGGGAGCTGGTACCCCATTTATTTTTATTCCTATATCCCTTATAATATAGGTATTTAAATATAAATACATCAAAAATTTACATATTACACTTACAATAAAGTACACATTAAGTGCACTAATTTAAAAAATCTGAATTTGTTTATCCATTTAATTATTAAGTAAATAGATTAAGTAATTGTGATAGCAACTTAAAATTAATGCGAAAGTAATTCATTTACTTTTTTGGAAAATCTTGTGTGCTGGAATTCAGAATATACCATATTTTGCAGGGATTTTTTATTTTATCGCTTTTACGTACAACAACTTGTTTTTTATTTAATTTAGTTTTTAGTATTGTTTAATTTGACATGGACTTGTTTGACGGCAATTCCAAGTTAAATTAGCAACAAGTTAGGGAATTCCTCAGATAATGATTCATTCCCGTAAATTTGAACTGCAATCATTGCTGGCGTCAACATAAAGGAAGCACCGTATTAAGTACACGACTTTTGTAAAGATTTTTGCTCTCTTTAAGCCTAAGTTGCGAACTCATGTTCACATATAATGGAAGTGCTCTATAAATAAATTAAAAAGTCGTAAAGCCGCCGTATTATGCATAAGTGAGTAACAAATTTTTGCAAGTCACTATCGCGTATGCTAATTAAGCAAATGGATAAATGTTCAGTTAAATATAGGGTTAAAAAAAAAATAAAAAATAAAATTAGTATATATAAATAAAAAATAAAAATCAGAACAGGTGTTAAAATTTAAGTCGCTGTAGTGTTAATTAAATATTTAAAATTTGAAAAGTTGTCTCTATTGACGGAAATCACAAAATAACACAAGTCAGTCATAAGTAGTTTTTTACAGAAATTATTTACTTTTTTAATATGAAAAAACCTAAAAAATGTTAAGTCAAACAGCGAAATGATCACCTCGGCGCTTGAATACCACTTTACGCGGTTTTTTTTTGAAACGATGCATTAATATTACATTGCTTATTTTTATTTATTAATTTTTAAAAATTTGATTATACATATCAAATCATAAAATTGAAATTTTTATTGAATAATTTTTATGTATATATATATATGTATATATATATATATATATATTTATTTATTTATTTTTTAACTGTCATTGCCGCCTTAGCACCCTACACATTGTTTTAAGAGCATGTAAGATTTAATAGATCCATTTTTCATAACTTAAGTCAATAAACTCCACAAATTTATTAATACTTTGCTTTAAGATGTACTTAATCATTTATCAGCTTAATATTTGATGTTCTAAAACAGAGAAGAATGAAAGACTGTTGTTAAACAGGCTTATCTCCAACATGAACTATTAGTCACGGATAATGATGAATATTATTGCTATGCTTTTGCTTAATATTTACCTACAAGAGTATTACATGTATGCTAATATTCATCATCTTATTAGAATTAAGTACATCTACAATAAGAAGTCAATTGTTCAGTAATGTGATCCGATATCAAAAATATTACACACATTTACATTACTTTTTGCTTTATTTATATTTTTTTAGCATATTTTATCACATATACTACTTTAAATTGTTAAATAAAAATGACTCAGAAATACAGAAAAATAATAATATGTGTGAATGATTTAATTATCATCCATGTCGATTCAATATATAGTGTAGAAATTAAAATGCTAAGAGTACCTGCACCTTACACATAGTAGCTAAATAGAATAAAATAGGTTACTCTTGGGTGTCAAGAAAACTTCATCCGCCAGCTAGCTAAATAACGGAATAGTTAGCATTTTCGGATCAACATATATTTTATTACAAACTATTTTATTATATTATTTAACATAATATTAATGGAACTGTAGACATTTCTACGGTGTATTTTCTTTGTAATACTGCAAATATTTTGTTTGCATATTATCTCAGATTCATCTCCGTTATCTCATATTCGATGATGGCAGCCTATAGATTTCTGTCTGCTTTTCGTTAATATTTTGTGTGTTATTATTTTAAATTAATTTGACATTATTTGATAAAATTTAAATAAATAATTAAGTTAACTTTCTAGTCTTGCATATTGAAAGGTCTTTAATTTTTAAATTAACTAATTCCAGTTGTATTCATTTAACATTAATTAAGACATTGAGAGATGTTCGCAAATGATTAAAAATATAACAATTTTTTTAGGGTATGGTTAGACTAACACTAAGTGGCACCTTTT